CAGGACTGGGGGTGTGCAGGTGGTGGTGGGTGCAGGGTGAGTGTGGTGGTGCAGGTGAGTGTGGTGGGTGCAGGGTGAGTGTGGGGGTGCAGGGTGAGTGTGGTGGGTGCAGGGTGAGTGTGGTGGGTGCAGGGTGAGGTGGGGGTGCAGGTGTGTGTGGTGGGTGCAGGGTGAGTGTGGTGGGTGCAGGGTGAGTGTGGTGGGTGCAGGGTGAGTGTGGTGGGTGCAGGGTGAGTGTGGTGGGTGCAGGGTGAGTGTGGTGGGTGCAGGGTGAGTGTGGTGGGTGCAGGGTGAGTGTGGTGGGTGCAGGGTGAGTGTGGTGGGTGCAGGGTGAGTGTGGTGGGTGCAGGGTGAGTGTGGTGGGTGCAGGGTGAGTGTGTGGGTGCAGGGTGAGTGTGGTGGGTGCAGGGTGAGTGTGGTGGGTGCAGGGTGAGTGTGGTGGGTGCAGGGTGAGTGTGGTGGGTGCAGGGTGAGTGTGGTGGTGCAGGGTGAGTGTGGTGGGTGCAGGGTGGTGTGTGGGTGCAGGGTGAGTGTGGTGGTGCAGGGTGAGTGTGGTGGGTGCAGGGTGAGTGTGGTGGGTGCAGGGTGAGTGTGGTGGGTGCAGGGTGAGTGTGGTGGGTGCAGGGTGAGTGTGGTGGGTGCAGGGTGAGTGTGGTGGGTGCAGGGTGAGTGTGGTGGGTGCAGGGTGAGTGTGGTGGGTGCAGGGTGTGTGTGGTGGGTGCAGGGTGAGTGTGGTGGGTGCAGGGTGAGTGTGGTGGGTGCAGGGTGAGTGTGGTGGGTGCAGGGTGAGTGTGGTGGGTGCAGGGTGAGTGTGGTGGGTGCAGGGTGAGTGGGGGGTGCAGGTGAGTGTGGTGGGTGCAGGGTGAGTGTGGTGGGTGCAGGGTGAGTGTGGTGGGTGCAGGGTGAGTGTGGTGGGTGCAGGGTGAGTGTGGTGGGTGCAGGGTGAGTGTGGTGGGTGCAGGGTGAGTGTGGTGGGTGCAGGGTGAGTGTGGTGGGTGCAGGGTGAGTGTGGTGGGTGCAGGGTGAGTGTGGTGGGTGCAGGGTGAGTGTGGTGGGTGCAGGGTGAGTGTGGTGGGTGCAGGGTGATGTGGTGGGTGCAGGGTGAGTGTGGTGGGTGCAGGGTGAGTGTGGTGGGTGCAGGGTGAGTGTGGTGGGTGCAGGGTGAGTGTGGTGGGTGCAGGGTGAGTGTGGTGGGTGCAGGGTGAGTGTGGTGGGTGCAGGGTGAGTGTGGTGGGTGCAGGGTGAGTGTGGTGGGTGCAGGGTGAGTGTGGGGTGCAGGGTGAGTGTGGTGGGTGCAGGGTGAGTGTGGTGGGTGCAGGGTGAGTGTGGTGGGTGCAGGGTGAGTGTGGTGGGTGCAGGGTGAGTGTGGTGGGTGCAGGGTGAGTGTGGTGGGTGCAGGGTGAGTGTGGTGGGTGCAGGGTGAGTGTGGTGGGTGCAGGGTGAGTGTGGTGGGTGCAGGGTGAGTGTGGTGGGTGCAGGTGAGTGTGGTGGGTGCAGGGTGAGTGTGGTGGGTGCAGGGTGAGTGTGGTGGGTGCAGGGTGAGTGTGGTGGGTGCAGGGTGAGTGGTGGGGTGCAGGGTGAGTGTGGTGGGTGCAGGGTGAGTGTGGTGGGTGCAGGGTGAGTGTGGTGGGTGCAGGGTGAGTGTGGTGGTGCAGGGTGAGTGTGGTGGGTGCAGGGTGAGTGTGGGGGTGCAGGGTGAGTGGGTGGTGTGCAGGGTGAGTGTGGTGGGTGCAGGGTGAGTGTGGTGGGTGCAGGGTGAGTGTGGTGGGTGCAGGGTGAGTGTGGTGGGTGCAGGGTGAGTGTGGTGCAGGGTGAGTGTGGTGGGTGCAGGGTGAGTGTGGTGGGTGCAGGGTGAGTGTGGGGGTGCAGGGTGTGTGGTGGGTGCAGGGTGAGTGTGGTGGGTGCAGGGTGAGTGTGGTGGGTGCAGGGTGAGTGTGGTGGGTGCAGGGTGAGTGTGGTGGGTGCAGGGTGAGTGTGGTGGGTGCAGGGTGAGTGTGGTGGGTGCAGGGTGAGTGTGGTGGGTGCAGGGTGAGTGTGGTGGGTGCAGGGTGAGTGTGGTGGGTGCAGGGTGAGTGTGGTGGGTGCAGGGTGAGTGTGGTGGGTGCAGGGTGAGTGTGGTGGGTGCAGGGTGAGTGTGGTGGGTGCAGGGTGTGTGGTGGGTGCAGGTGAGTGTGGTGGGTGCAGGGGGTGGGTGGGGTGCAGGGTGAGTGTGGTGGGTGCAGGGTGAGTGTGGTGGGTGCAGGGTGAGTGTGGTGGGTGCAGGGTGAGTGTGGGGGTTCAGGGTGAGTGTGGTGGGTGCAGGGTGAGTGTGGTGGGTGCAGGGTGAGTGTGGTGGGTGCAGGGTGAGTGTGGTGGTTGCAGGTGAGTGTGGTGGGTGCAGGGTGAGTGTGGTGGGTGCAGGGTGAGTGTGGTGGGTGCAGGGTGAGTGTGGTGGGTGCAGGGTGAGTGTGGTGGGTGCAGGTGAGTTGGTGGGGTGCAGGTGAGTGTGGTGGGTGCAGGGTGAGTGTGGTGGGTGCAGGGTGAGTGGGGGTGCAGGGTGAGTGGTGGGTGCAGGGTGAGTGTGGTGGGTGCAGGGTGAGTGTGGTGGTTGCAGGGTGAGTGTGGTGGGTGCAGGGTGAGTGTGGTGGGTGCAGGGTGAGTGTGGTGGGTGCAGGGTGAGTGTGGTGGGTGCAGGGTGAGTGTGGTGGGTGCAGGGTGAGGTGTGGGTGCAGGGTGAGTGTGGTGGGTGCAGGGTGAGTGTGTGGTGGGTGCAGGGTGTGTGGTGGGTGCAGGGTGAGTGGGGGTGCAGGGTGAGTGTGGTGGGTGCAGTGGTGAGTGTGGTGGTGCAGGGGAGTGTGGTGGGTGCAGGGTGAGTGTGGTGGGTGCAGGGTGAGTGTGGTGGGTGCAGGGTGAGTGTGGTGGGTGCAGGGTGAGTGTGGTGGGTGCAGGGTGAGGTGGTGGGTGCAGGGTGAGTGTGGTGGGTGCAGGGTGAGGTGGTGGGTGCAGGGTGAGTGTGGGGGTGCAGGGTGAGTGTGGTGGGGCAGGGTGAGTGTGGTGGGTGCAGGGTGAGTGTGGTGGGTGCAGGGTGTGTGTGGTGGGTGCAGGGTGAGTGTGGGGGTGCAGGGTGAGTGTGGTGGGTGCAGGGTGAGGTGGGGGTGCAGGGTGAGGTGGTGGGTGCAGGGTGAGTGTGGTGGGTGCAGGGTGAGTGTGGTGGGTGCAGGGTGAGTGTGGTGGGTGCAGGGTGAGTGTGGTGGTGCAGGGTGAGTGTGGTGGGTGCAGGGTGAGTGTGGTGGGTGCAGGGTGAGTGTGGTGGGTGCAGGGTGAGTGTGGTGGGTGCAGGGTGAGTGTGGTGGGTGCAGGGTGAGTGTGGTGGGTGCAGGGTGAGTGTGGTGGGTGCAGGGTGTGTGTGGTGGGTGCAGGGTGAGTGTGGTGGGTGCAGGGTGAGTGTGGTGGGTGCAGGGTGAGGTGGGGTGCAGGGTGAGTGTGGTGGGTGCAGGGTGAGTGTGGTGGGTGCAGGGTGAGTGTGGTGGGTGCAGGGTGAGTGTGGTGGGTGCAGGGTGAGTGTGGTGGGTGCAGGGTGAGTGTGGTGGGTGCAGGGTGAGTGTGGTGGGTGCAGGGTGGTGAGTGTGGTGGGTGCAGGGTGAGTGTGGTGGGTGCAGGGTGAGTGTGGTGGGTGCAGGGTGAGTGTGGTGGGTGCAGGGTGAGTGTGTGGGTGCAGGGTGAGTGTGGTGGGTGCAGGGTGAGTGTGGTGGGTGCAGGGTGAGTGGGTGGGTGCAGGGTGAGTGTGGTGGTTGCAGGGTGGTGTGGGGGTGCAGGGTGGGTGGTGGGGAGGGTGAGTGTGGTGGGTGCAGGGTGGTGTGGTGGGTGCAGGGTGAGTGTGGTGGGGCAGGGTGAGTGTGGTGGGTGCAGGTGAGTGTGGTGGGTGCAGGGGAGTGTGGTGGGTGCAGGGTGAGTGTGGTGGGTGCAGGGTGTGTGGTGGGTGCAGGGTGAGTGTGGTGGGTGCAGGGTGAGTGTGGTGGGTGCAGGTGAGTGTGGTGGGTGCAGGGTGAGTGTGGTGGGTGCAGGGTGAGTGTGGTGGGTGCAGGGTGAGTGTGGTGGGTGCAGGGTGAGTGTGGTGGGTGCAGGGTGAGTGTGGTGGGTGCAGGGTGAGTGTGGTGGGTGCAGGGTGAGTGTGGTGGGTGCAGGGTGAGTGTGGTGGGTGCAGGGTGAGTGTGGTGGGTGCAGGGTGAGTGTGGTGGGTGCAGGGTGAGTGTGGTGGGTGCAGGGTGAGTGTGGTGGGTGCAGGGTGAGTGTGGTGGGTGCAGGGTGAGTGTGGTGGGTGCAGGGTGAGTGTGGTGGGTGCAGGGTGAGTGTGTGGTGGGTGCAGGGTGAGTGTGGTGGGTGCAGGGTGAGTGTGGTGGGTGCAGGGTGAGTGTGGTGGGTGCAGGGTGAGTGTGGTGGGTGCAGGGTGAGTGTGGTGGTGCAGGTGAGTGTGGTTGGTGCAGGTGTTGGTGTGGTGGGTGCAGGTGTTGAGGTGGTGGACCTGCAGGGTGATGTGTGGTGTGGTTGCAGGGTGAGTGTGGTGGGTGCAGGTGTTTAGTGTGGTGGGGTGCCGGTTTGAGTGTGGTGGGTGCAGGGTGAGTTGTGTGTGGTTGCAGGGTGAGTGTTGGTGGGTTGCAGGGTGAGTGGTGTGGGTGCAGGGGTTGAGTGTGTGGTGGGTGACAGGTGTGACGTGTTGGTGGGTGCAGGTTTGAGTGTGGTGGGTGCAGGGTGAGTGTGGTAGGGTGCAGGGTTTGAGTGTGGTGGGTGCAGGGTGAGTGTCGGTGGGTGCAGGGGTGAGTGTGGTGGGTGCAGTGCGTGAGTGTCGGTGGGTGCGGTGGTTATCACGGACTGGGTGGGTGCAGGGTGTGGGTGGTGGGGTGGAGGATATCACAGGGTGGGTGGAGTGCAGGGTGTGGGTGGTGGGTGGAGGGTATTACCGGGTGGGTGGGTGCAGGGTGAGTGTTGTGAGTGTGGTGAGTGTGGTTAAAAGTGATCAGGGTTCACACTGATCCACCACCTCCACCACCCCTACTGTGCAGTGGACCGGCCACCACAAGCAGCACACGTCGGAGGAGTGAGCGGATGGCTCTCCCTATGCGGGCCAGGCTCCCTTGCTTCCTCTTCTCCTGCTGCACCACCAACTCCTCTACCAGAGTCTCCTCCTGTACCACCAACTCCTCCACCAGGGTCTCCTGTACCACCAACTCCTCCACCAGCGTCTCCTCAAGTACCACAAACTCCTCCACCAGGGTCTCCTGTACCACCAACTCCTCCACCAAGGTCTCCTCCTGTACCACCAACTCCTCCACCAAGGTCTCCTCAAGTACCACCAACTCCTCCACCAAGGTCTCCTCCTGTACCACCAACTCCTCCACCAGGGTCTCCTGTACCACCAACTCCTCCACCAAGGTCTCCTCCTGTACCACCAACTCCTCTACCAGAGTCTTTTGTACCACCAACTCCTCCACCAGGGTCTCCTCCTGTACCACCAACTCCTCCACCAAGGTCTCCTCAAGTACCACCAACTCCTCCACCAAGGTCTCCTCCTGTACCACCAACTCCTCTACCAGGGTCTCCTCGAGTACCACCAGCTCCTCCACGAGAGTCTCCTCCTCTTGCACCACCAGCTCCTCCACCATGGTCTCTTCCTCCACAACCTTCAACTTCTCTTTAGAGGCCTGGGCGAGCAAGGAGGATGGGCGCTGTGCCGGCTCCATTCTGTGAAGAAATGCGCACGACACCGTTCCAACTTCCTGCTTCAGGAGAGATCAGTCCCCCCCCTCCCCCCATTGTCCATGGGTGGACTAAGTGTGTGCCGCAGAAGATTAACCCAGCTAATAAACAGTGCCGCAATAATGCAGCATACCTTTGCCCACCGTGAGTCTGGTTACGAAATGGGCATTAGTCTGGCGGTGTCTCAGTGGATGCAGGGCAACTTGGGAAAGATATTGCCGCTTCATTATCTGTCCTCACCCAAAAACCAATTATGGAAAAATAAATCCGTATATAACCGAATCTACACATTCTCTTTGGCTGGAACTCACAGCCAGAGAGGAGCTGGGATTGAGTCCCATACAGGGGCCACTTTCTCTGTGTGGAATGTGGAGTGTGTTCTACCAACCACCCTACCCTGCCTGCCCCCCCCCCCCCCCTGCATGGGTTTCCAGAATCAGAATCTTTCTTTAAACTGGATGAAGAGGAGTCTGATGAGCTATGAAGCTCTTCTTTCACAGATGTCCAGTCAAGTCACAGGGTCAGCAGGTTATAACAACAAACAAAACAAAAGGAGTCCAAAGTATACTAAAAAAATAAAGCGTATAAATACAAATGGCATAAGTAAATAAAATCCTGTCAGTTGTTCAACACTAAATGCAAGCTTGGGCAATGCAGCGAAACAGCAACAAAAACAGCCTCACACCACACCAAGATAACACAATCCTTCAATAAAATTGCACATTAAAATTTCACTTCCATTCCTCTGGGTTTGGCAACTGAACCCTCACAAACACGCGGTGCAACCAGTGTTGGATGGACATCTCCACCAGTGTTGTAAATTGAAACTCCAAATCACTCAATTGGGATCGCACAGCAGCAGCAGCAGTACATTTGTTCTGTACTGCAAAAAACTTGGCAGGACCCTCCTGAAAAAAGTATTGAGACTGAGTGAGGCTATTGCTGGCTAAATAAGCGTAGAGGTAGTAGCAATAAAGATAAATAGATATTAAACACACACAGGAGCAGAGTCGTCCCCCGGGTACGGTGTACGGGGGGTGACCACCCCGGGCCCTGCGCTTTGGGGGGCCCTGCGCTTCGATGTCACGGTGTCAGACGTAATACTTCCGTTTAACACGTAGGCTATCGCTCCGGATTGGCTCACAAGTGATGACATCACATTTATCGCTTTATTTTAGACTGAAAGAGGAGGATTCCTTTGCTATTCGTAAGCCCACACCGTGTAACTTGCCCCAGGCCCCGCACCCCCCTATAGACTGCCTTGACCACTGGACAAGCAGATGGTGGCTTACCGTCGCTCAGCAGCTCCAGAGTGCTTCACACTGCCAGGAGCAGCAACGGTGGTGGTGGTGGCTTTGCTGGCCGTGGTGGTGCTGGTGGCCGCGGTCCGGAGCCAGTTATGAGCCAGCGCCTGCACTGGCGTCATACGACAATTCGGATCCCATCTGTTGAGAGATGCACGGGGGACACACGCGGCCACGTGGTGAGAGAGGCATGGTGAGAGCTTTGATGTTCCTTCCCTTCTCCCACGAGGTCCAGGAATGCACAGCAGCAGCGGAAGCCACAGTAGCAGTGGCAGTCCTCTGATGACCAGCAGCGGCTTGGACAGACCTCCCACTCCTCCACAGAGGGCTAACTCCACAGAGGGCCAGTGGTACCGCTTATTGGCAGGTCCACTCAGCTCCACATCTTCCTGGTGATCGGTGGAGAGCGGTCGCCGATCAATTGGAGGGGGGGAATCCTCGTGGAGAGGGGGTGGGAGTGGTGGGTGGTTCTTACCGCAAACAGGAGCTGATGAATTCGACAAACTCCGGGTCATCGCTTTTGAGCACCCTGTGAAGTGGGAAGCTCCCCGGAACCCTTTTCTTGCCTGGGCAGAACATCTTCCCCCGATGGTCTGCAGGAGCCATGCACAGCGGAAGAGACGAAGTCACCAACCACCACATCGCCCATCTACCCACTTAATGACCGATTCATCAACCCACTCATCCACCTACCCACCCATACACTCTTCCACCTCCCCAATCGCTCACTCACCTATCCACCTACCCACTCACCCACCCACTCATCTACCCACCCACCCTCTCGCTGACCCACTCACCCAACCACTCACCCATTCGCCCAATTACCCAACAACCTACTCGCCTACTCACCCACATACCCATCCACTTGCCCACACACCCATTTACCCACCCACATACCCAAGTAATGTAAAATACAAAGACGCCCCCTCCAAAACAAAATAACAACAGCCTGAGGCCACTCCCTAAAACTGAATCCGGTCTGTCATTCACCCCACGCTTCAACTCACCAAAGAACTGCGTTCTGTCGGGTGCTCCATTCACCATGTACCTCGGAGGCATCCCCAGAATCTGCACATGGTTGACATGAAGACAAAGGTCACCCGTATAGCTTCGGCACACTGTCGGGACAAGTGCTGTTAGATCGAGTAGCAAAATTAGCAGCGTTTGTTGAGGGCCAGCACTGTGGCACAGAGAGACAGGAGTGGCGGCTGATTTCAGCCGCATCATCTCTCCATAACAAAAAGGCTCAGTCCCTTTTACACGCACCTTTACATCATCCGCACCTAGTTTACACAACAAAGGCTCATTCCTAACAGCGTGCTTCAGCCGCACCGAACCTCACAAAAATAATATTCAGGGCCTACCTTGGCTCCTCCCACCCTCAACCAGTATATTAATACAAGGACTGTTTCTTGGAATTTCTCTCACTTGATACAGCTATCGTGCTGTGAATGTTCCACCTGAAGATGGAGGCTTGTGTTGCCTCTGAAACTTCGTGATTTTTATTTTATTTTTATTTTACTTTTATAAATTTTTTCATTTTTTACCTACGTGACTTTACCAAAAAAACCTAAGAATATGAATCCTTGCAGTCACGAAAGCTTCAAATCTAGAATTGACCCAGATACTTTACACACTCCACCAGGTACTCAGTTGAGGCTGTCTCGAACTAGAGGAGGCCCAGGACCAGTTCAGACAATCGTCACTGGTGTTGCCCATGAGCTGGAATCAACCTCAGTTTCTAGCACAGCAGGCTGACCGCTACACTACCGCTCCCCCACACAAACAAGACACACACGTGTACACGCAACATACGACGGCCGTTATTCACAGATCACCAATTGGCCACCCCCCCTCCTCCCACCCCCATAGCCCACGACTCCAAGGAAAGAGAGGGGGATCACGAGCGGACAGACGCCGTGTGGGAAATACCTCTATGCAGCGCGGGAGGTGATCTTCGTGGCTGTTGGACCGGAATAATTCCCTGCCCGTCGCCAACTCAGCCACCGTGCAGCCCAGCGCCCACATATCCACTCCACATGTCAAGCTATAGCCCAGCAACAGCTCCGGAGCCAAGTATTCTAGGGTGCCACCAACATTCATAGCTGTACAAAAATCACAAGGACAACAAACATATGTGCGTGTGTACACACTGTGTCTTAAACAGCATCATCATCATGCACATAAACAGTCACATGTACAGACACTAAGATACTCACACACAGACACACTCAGACAGACACTGACATATAGACACTCACACGGACGCAGAGAGACCCATGCACAAAGACAGCCATACAGACACCCACACGCAGACACTCACACACCCAGGTGAGGTCACTCACGTTGACTTTCCACGAAAAAGCTCGTGCCAAAGTCCGTGATCCTCACGGTGCCAGTCACGGTGTCTTTGACGAGAACATTTTCCTGGAGGATGGGTAGAATGAATTCAAGCTCAGAGGTTATGCCGATATCATTCAGCCAGCAGTGGATCAATCACATACCACGACACACGCTAAACAGGGGAACTAGATGAGGCATAGCCTTGTCGACAAGCGTCAGTCAAGTGCAATATTCACTGTTTTCTGACAGCTGTCACTGGGGGGTGCCCCTTTCAAATATGTCAAAATTGTAGATGTGAGTAGAGGCGTGTCACGTTCAAAGCACTCTCAGGCACCATCAAAGTGAAGGGGGGTGGCTCTATTGACAACCGATTGCCGTTGCTCCAACAGGAGAGCTGCATGGAGCTCACAGCTGGATGAGTGCCCGTTAACGAGTTACAGACAAAAAGACACACACAAGAGAGTGCACGAATTCTGTGACGCTTTCCACTGGACCTTTGTCTTAGGCCTTTTATCAATTTGCAAATTGGAATTCGATAACGAACAGTTGTCAGGCCAAAATGCACATTTCGCACGTTTTGAAAATTGTTATTTTTGACTCCGTTTCATGTCTCCCAGGGTTTGGGGCAATGCTGATCAACGTTACCGGTTTTCTCCCTGGTGAGTCCCCAAGAGCGACACGACTCTACACTATAGTTAAATTCATACCAGATCACATTCACCAGAGGAGCATGGCCCTGCCTCCTTCCAGTGAGATGGGCAGAGCTTACATATCGACCTTGTGACCAACATGGCCGGTTTTCTCTGTGGAACGAGTCCTCAATAAAGATACACCTCTGCAATCTTAATTTGTAGCTTTCGTGACTGCAGGAATTACTCTTTGGTTCTTTCGGTAAAGTCACATACAAAGCTTGCGTACTTTGTCACCCGTTGTCCTACTCATTGACATGCTAATTTTTTCTCTAACCCCTCCCTCTCTCCGCCCCCACCCCCCTCTCTCTATTTAAGGCCTCGTCACAGAAACGTTCTCTCTCTGTGTGCCGATGTGTGTTCTCTCTATGTATCTTTGCGATGTCTGTCTGCTTATATGTCTGTCTATAGTTTGGTGGTTAGATTTGTGTTGCTATTTCTTTTATACCTGATGACGATTGCTTGTGTTGCAATCGAAACGTCGTATGCTATTATTTTATTTCTTATTTTATCTTTATACGTGACTTTACCGAAAGAACCAAAGAGTGATACACCTCTGCACCAAATTGAAAGCTGAACGCTGTGTCCACTCACAGGCTTGATGTCCGCGTGGACGATTTTCCTGGAATTGATGTGGCGCAAGAACTTGAGGATGCCCCTGGTGTAGGTTTTCACCATCGCCATGTCCAACCGCCGGAGCCCCGCATTCCTAATCACTTCATGAAGGCTCTCCCTGTGAGAGAGGCAGAAGCAGCAACAAAAACACGGCATCAGTACCATCCCCTACAATGCTGCACTGATTCTGATAACGATAATCACGTTCATATTGTACGTTCACGTGCACGTTTATGACCAATATTAAGAGTTATAGTTCCGTGTGGGTTGAGGTCGTCAATTTGCCCATAAACCAAATCAGTTGGCATATCTGCCCACTTGACAACTTGATTTCATTGGCTTTGTTGCCGGGTAGTGGAGGGTTATCCATTGGGAGAAGATAAAAACTCAACACAGCGATTTTCGCCGAGAGGCACAAGCATCACCACTGCCATGCAGCCACCCTGCTGATTGAGTGGAGGCGTGGGTCGGTGAAAGTGGCAGGGCTAATGGAGGAAAGACAAGTGGCCTCCAATGCACCCGTGGCACATGGCAGCTCCACAGGATTACAATGCATGGGTGGTGGCGTGGGCATCTCAACATTAACAGCTTACTCTTTGGTTCTTTCGGTAAAGTCACGTATAAAGATAAAATAATAAATGTAATAATAGCATACTACGACGTTTCGATTGCAACACAAGCAATTATCATCAGGTATAAATGAAATGGCAACAAAAATCTAACCAGAAAACTATAGACAGACATATAAGCAGACAGATATCACCAAAATACATATGGTTGTCTATAGTTTTATGGTTAGATTTTTGTTGCTATTTCATTTATACCTGATGATGATTGCTTGTGTTGCAATCAAAACGTCGTAGTATGCTATTTAATTTATTATTTTATCTTTATACGTGACTTTACCGAAAGAACCAAAGAGTAATTCCTGCAGTCACGAAAGCTCCAAAATTAAGAATTAACAGCTTGCCGCGGTGGCGAGATGACATCTCCCCCGCCTGGTATGGAGGAGGTCCTAGGTTTGATCCCGACCGTGATGCCTGTAGATTTGGAGATTGCATGTTCTCCCCATGGGCATGTGAATTTTTCTGTGGGTCCACTGGTTTTCCCTTCCACATTTATAATCAAAATGCTACTTTTAGATTTAAAGCTTTCGTGACTGCAGGGATTCATCTTCTTGGTTCTTTCGGTAAAGTCACGTAGAATGGAAATAATAAAATAATAAAAATAAAACATAATAAAATAATTCTCACAACGTTTCGGTCACAACGCAAGCAGCCGTCATCAGGTGAAGAACAGGTCTGTCGGGGAGACAGAGTCTGTCTACGTGACTTTACCGAAAGAACCAAGAAGAAAAATGCTACTTTGTTAAGCTTTTATTTGTGGTCTGGTCGCTTCTAAAAAATAACGAAAGTTTGTTTAAGTTAGTTAACCACGTTATTGGCGGAGGGGGGGGGGGGGCATGCAGTACATACTTCAACAGCTCCATGACGATACAGTAGTGTCCTCTGAAATGAAATATGTTCAGGACTTTGATGACGTTGAAATCTTCATCACTGCCCTCGTCCTGAAGTTCCAGAGCTATCTGGAGCTCCATCTTCTGGTATGTTTCCTGCTTGGAGCTGCACAGAGGAAGTCCACAAATGAAGAGCCTACATTTGCTTAAGGGATATCCAGAGCCAAATGAAATTCTGAATAAAATAATTTAATATGAATTCACCAGGTCTAACAGCACCAGGAGTTCCAGTAGCACACTCGACTATCATTGGTGAGGAGCTCCCACAGAGGGAGCAGGAGCCGACGTAGGGCACCCAATAGGATTTGGAAGTGAAGAGCCATTCAAATCGGATTGGTCATTTGAGAAATCTAAATGCAAACGCATGTTAACACAACGCATTCTCACTTCAATATGCCTCTTCCATTCGGGCACACTTTTCGCATAACGCGGAATGTGCCCGTAATAACACGAACGCGCCCATTGCAACACGGAACGCTTCTCGTTATAACGTAGAACACGCCTGTTAAAGCACGGAACACGCCCGTTATAACACGATCTGTGAGTAGTCGACAACAAACTACTTTCTTGAGCTGCAATGATACATTACTCGCAATGATAAAGTAACGTGACAGCATACCCTCAGTCATTGGTCTCGTCATCTCAAGGTGTATGAGTGCATTGTATCTCGCCAAACATTATTATTACATTATTTATGGGGAAATTACTTTCGCTCAATACTTTTTTTGCTGAACGCGGAACTTTTCAGGAATGTATCTACAGCATTAAATGAGGAATTCCCGTAATGTGCACGTAATCTTTCAGCAATGGGATGTTTTGCCCCAATATTAGTTTACTCTGTGTGTGTGTATATTAAGCTTTAGGGAGGAAAAATCTGAGAACCCAGAAGGAACTGATGCAGAACAGGGGTAGAACATGCAGACTCCATACAGGAGGGCACCCGAATCAGGAGTCGAACCCAGGCTCCCCTTCTCGCTTTGATGCACGATTGTCACCGCTGCATCGCACGGCTGCCCGTGGCAACGGACTTAACAACAACATCGGCCTCATGACGGTGCGGCTCTGAAGTCTTACCTCGATGGTGACACCAGGATCTTGATGGCCACCAGGATGTTTCTTTTGTGATCAAGGCATTGGATCACCTGGCCTTGACCTCCTTCTCCAATCTTCTTCAGCACCTCATAGCGATAGCGGAGGTGCTCATGCCGGAACTGCACAAAAGGTACAATCATTTAAAGTGAATATAATTAAAATCACAAAATTTAAGAAGCGAGAATGTATATTCTTTGGGTCTTTTGGTAAAGTCACGTACATAGATTCAAAGAAAATAACAAAAAACTAAAAACAATCAAAGGGTTGCCGGGTGAAAATTATCATGTTAATGACAGATTAGTATGTTCATGGAATATCGCAGAGCTGCAACCGAGAGGTCGGCACGCAAAGTGGCTGTGTTAGTGTGAAAGCGCAAGTTTGAAATGGGCATAAAGCACGACTATCATCAGAAGGTGGTAGGATGGGAAGATCATAGCCAATTGTGACTTAAACAGGTTGGTAATGTCCTTCCAATGATTACTCAGTTTGTACCCATCTTCTTGGTTTAAATTGTGTCTGTGTCAATAAAAATGGATGGCTTCATGAAGTAATCTTTGTTGATAGCCAGTGGGCTTGCAAAGTACCTTCGTCTTGGAGAAATAAATTTCGTGTGAGACCACCGCATTAAAACAATGATCAGCCACGGCTGAGGTATTGGTCCTACCGTGTTTCAGATCCTACCTAGTTTCAGATTTGACTTATGTTCACGAACATCAGTCAGATCTGAAACTGTCGGGTTGGCTGCCCACCACTTGCATTAATATTGGCTGCTGACATTTGGGCAATGCCCATTTCAAACCCTAATAAACAGTTTGCCTTTGGAAGCTAACCCCCCTTTTCCTGAAGACGACCGATTGTGTTGCGATTGAAACGTAGTTTTAGTTTTTGGTTATATTCTTTGAACCTATCTACGTGACTTTACCGAAAGACCCAAAAAATATGAATTCTTGCAGTCACGAAAGCTTTAAGTCAAGACTTAAGTGAGAATGTCATTTTCTAATGTATTTTCTGTAATGATTACGCTTTCTAAAATCTGTCGTTGTGGAATGTTCTGATGTTTGCTGGCTCAGTCTCCCTTCAAAATAGAGCTTCTTAGCTCAATGGGCTTTACTCGCGATAAAAAATTCTGATTCTGAAGTGCATTGGTGTGTGTGATAGCCCTGGTTGGTACTTCAGGTGCAATAACAAGAAGCCACAAACCCCGCTACCGATGGGCCCTGTGACCGCCCTCACAACTGGTGTTTTGTTGCGAGCCTCACCAGAATGTAATTTCGTTCTTGGTCGTCGTATCCATCATTGTTGCATCCCTCAGATTTGTTGCAAAGTGCAAAGTACCACACTTCCTGCATGGCTGCGAGTTCTAGCTTCTCACGGTGGGTCAAGTGAGGGCCAAAGAGAGCCATGATTTCTGCAGACATGAGAATAACAACAACATCTGTGTGATCCCAAAGTTGAGCAATTTGTAGGAAAATATTACAGGATTGGGATGTTTTGGCCAATACCAGTTATGTCTGTATGTATGTTCAACTTCTTTTGCACCGTACTTAGCCAATTTTGCCAAATGGAAGGACATTAAACTAAACATGAAACGTCCTAAAGAAAGTAGTTTTCAATCTAGATGATTTAAAAGTGTATAGCTCCAGTGGCTTCCTAATATCGGAAGTGCATCTGAAAGCGTGTGATGTGCTGAGGCCAGAGCACAGAAAATCATCCCCATGCAACATGGCCACCATGATGCAGTCCCCCATGCAACATGGCTACCATTAAGTCCCGCATGCAACACTGCCAACATGAAGTCCCTCATGCAACGTGGCCACCTGGATATCACCCATGCATCATGGCCGCTATGAAATCTCCAATGCATCACGGCCACTGTGACATCCACCATGTAACATGGCCATTGTGATGTTCCACCATTCACCATGGCCCTCTGTGACGTCCCTCATTACTGTTCTTACCTTGCGGTGATTTGTTGCAGATGGAGGCGGTGCCCTCTGAGGACAGCGCACTCCACGTGGTGCAAGATTCGCCCTTACTCCTCGCCTCTCCAGCTCGGCTCATCTACACACACACAAAGACAAAGGTCCACCACGTAAACTTTAGCAAGATGTTGAGGAAAGTGCAGGAGGCGAGCACTGAGCCAGGATCTCTGAGATCCTGGGCTCCACAAACAGGAGGGTCCTGCCAAGATGTTGTGTCAGTTCTCAGCGTTGGGATATTTGGCCAATATCTGATGTCACACTTGGGTATTACAATGAGACACGTGTGGATTTAGAGGACACACACAGGTTAATGGCATCCTTCAAACTGTTAAGAAAAGAGGGGCCGGGCCAGGACATGCCACGGCCAGGAGGAACAACGATGGCCGATGGTCAAGAAGAATAACGGAGCTGCAGCCAAGTATCGGAGCACGTTTGAGAGGACAGCTTCCAGAAAGATGGAGTGACAAAATCGGTGCTTGGTGGATTATGCCATTGCAGGATCGTGAGGGGTAGCAGGAACTCAGGGAAGGAGGCCTTCATCCAGTAGTGGATAATAAAAGTACTGTAGATTATTCACGTGTAGACAGGCAGGTACACAGACAGGATCTCGGGGGAGATACTCTGATAGATGCACACACACTCAGGCAGGCAAGTCGATGTACACTCAGGTATATGGATAAGCGACAGGTAGCCACACTCAGAGTGGAGAGCACACGTCCATCAATACTTCACCACACGAGTCGAAGAGCCACACGTACCTCCATGGTAGCAACTTGCAGAGCAGGGTGCACAGATCTCACAGCGTCTCTCGCACAGTCCGGGTCTCTGCGTGCGGAGCAGGAGACGAAGGCGAGGATCACAAAGAGTCGAGGGGGAGTGAGGGCTTCCAGATCTCAACACGAGTCAAGTCACAACGCGGGCTTACATCCTCACCATGAACCCACATCATCAACACAGACTCACATCATCACCACTCACTCACAAGACGAAATACAAAAACAACAACAACCGACATTCGCCACTAAGTAGGGGTGATGACACCACGGCGTCTGTACCAGGCCAGGTGCACTTTTAGTCCACGTGAAGTGTCGAAGGCTGACAAGACGTCACGGGATAGACCCAGGTTCCAAAGGTTGGCTGAGATGACTGGCAGATACACCAGCTGTATCCCCAACTGTGCCAACTTGTTGAATTTTATCCGCTACTCGCTGTGAGCGTCACTCCTCTGTCCTCAGTTGTTGTTGGAAGGCGACTGCCTCCTACTGCCCGTGGGATCCTTCACGAGCTTCCTCGTGAAGGATGCTATCCACACCGCTGATACCAGTCTTCTGCAAGTCCACTCAGCTCCACATCCTCCCATACAGCATCAGTCCATATTTTTTGACAGCCCATGTCGTGCCCGTTTAACCTCCTTTATGCAACCAAAATAAACTGCTTGGGTATGCGGTCTACAAGACCCAGCCAATGCAGCCTTGCCTGCTGGAGGAGCTTACTGGTGGGAATGTCTCCAGATCTTTCAAGCATTTGTGAGCCCCTCACACAATCCAGCCTGGTTAAACCCAGGATGGATCGTACAATCAACACCACCATCAACACCACCAACACCAACAATACCACCACCAACAACAACAACAAGACTATCACCACCATCAACACCATAACCAAAAACATCACCAACACCGCCCCCATCAACATCACCTCCATCAACACCACTAACACTACCACAACCAACACCACCACCAAGACCACCACCACCAACACGACCACCAACAACACCACAATCAACAACACCACAATCAACAACACCACCATCAACACCACCACCATCAACACCACCAACACCAACAATACCACCACCATCAACACCACCAACACCACCACCAAGACCACCACCAACACAACAACCACCAACACCACAATCAACAACACCACCATCAACACCACCATCAACACCACCAACACTAACAATAAAACCACCATCAACATCACCACCACCAACACCACCACGAAGAACACCAACACCACCACCACCAACAACACCACCATCACAAACACACCAACACCACCACCATAACCACCAACAACACCACCATCACAAACAACACCACCAAGACCACCACCATCAACACCACCAATACCACCACCATCAACACCAACAACACCACCACCACTAACAACAAAGATAAAGATCCCCCTTATAGCTGAAATAGACTGTTGGGGCAAGTGCTGTTAGCAGCAGTACCTATGAAGGGCAGAACGGCACACGAGGGGGTGGGTGGCCAGCACCACGCCCGGCCGCCTTTGTCTCCCTAGTGGCGATGTTTACACACACACACAGACTCACACACACACACAGACTCACACACACACACAGACTCACACACACACACAGACTCACACACACACACAGACTCACACACACACACAGACTCACACACACACACAGACTCACACACACACACAGACTCACACACACACACAGACTCACACACACACACAGACTCACACACACACACAGACTCACACACACACACAGACTCACACACACACACAGACTCACACACACACACAGACTCACACACACACACAGACTCACACACACACACAGACTCACACACACACACAGACTCACACACACACAGAGACTCACACACACACAGAGACTCACACACACACACAGACTCACACACACACACAGACTCACACACACACACAGACTCACACACACACACAGACTCACACACACACACAGACTCACACACACACACTCACACACACACACAGACTCACACACACACACAGACTCACACACACACACAGACTCACACACACACACAGACTCACACACACACAGACTCACACACACACAGACTCACACACAGACTCACACACACACAGACTCACACACACACACAGACTCACACACACACAGACTCACACACACACAGACTCTCACACACACAGACTCTCACACACACACACAGACTCACACACACACAGACTCACACACACACACAGACTCTCACACACACACACAGACTTACAAAAGACAAAGATAAAGATCCCCCGTATAGCCTTAACAGACTGTAGGGGCAAGTGCTGTTAGCGAGCACCTATGAAGGCCGGAACGGTACACGAGGGGGTGGGTGGCCAGCACCACGCCCGACCGCCTTTGTCTCCCCAGTGGCGATGTTTACACACCGCACCAGGTACTCATTTAAGGCTGAGTCGACCTAGGGGAGGCCCAGGACCGGTTCAGATAATCGTCACTGGTGTTAGCCGTGAGCGGGAATCGAACCCGGGTCGCCAGGTTCATAGCGCAGCGCGCTAACCGCTACACTACCGCTCCCCACACTTACACACACAGACTCACACACACACAGACTCACACACACACAGACTCACACACACACAGACTCACACACACAGAGACTCACACACACACAGACTCACACAGACTCACACACACACAGACTCACACCATTTCTCACCTTCGCCAGATGCTCCCCCGACTCTCTAACGGACAAACTGCCTGAGGGAGACACGAGGGGGCGGTACCAAGTGACCACGCCCACTATGACGTCGCAGACCTAAGCCCCTCCCACCCACCGGAGCTCCTCCCCCCACCGGAGCCCCTCCCCCTCAGCGGAGCTCCTCCCCCCACCGGAGCCCCTCCCCCCCATGCCCAACCCCTCGCCCCGCCCCTTCACCCCCCTCGCCCCGCCCCTCCCCCCGCTGCTACTTCCGCTGAGGCCGGGGCGAGTGGAGGCGGCGCTGTGCATTGTGGGTGGCGAGCGGACGGTTTGGATTCCCGCTCGCGGCCACCGTCGGCGGCTCGCTGGCTGGGCCTCCTCTAGGTCGACTCAGCCCGAACAAGGCGAGCACCTTGCACGCTGTGGACGCAGCAGCAGCAGCAGTGGCGGTGGTGGGGGGGGCAGAGGAGGCGCCTGCTGAGTTCACGGCCCCTGCTGCTGCTGATGAGGAGAGGCACTGCCAGATTGTGGCTGATGGGATGAGTTACATTTAGTTGTTTGTGTCTCTGGAGGGGCGGATTTGTTGTCGTGGCAGAAATGGCCTCGACTAGAGGCCGCGATGTGGAGTGTTTGGTCTACTCTTCCACGCTGGGCGTGCCCGCACCCCGATACACACGCGGGGCGTGAGCTCACTGGGCTTGCAATGCAGAGGTGCAGGTTCGAGTCCATTTCACACTCAGCCACTCGGCCACTCACTCAGTCACTCATTAACTCACCTACTCAGCCACTCACCCACTCAGCCAATCACTCAGCCAACTCAACCACCCACTCAGCCACTCACCCACTCACCCACTCAGCCACTCACTCAGCCACTCACTCAGTCACTCACTCACCCACTCAGCCACTCACTCACTCACTCAGCCACTCACTCAGCCACTCACTCAGCCACTCACCCACAGAGGGATAACGACCCTTCATGCAGTGGTTGTGTAGTATCTGCGTCAACGTTTTTGTTGTTTGGTTATGGTGGTGGCTATGGTGGTGGTTATGGTGGTGGTTGTGGTGGTGGTTATGGTGGTGGTTATGGTGGTGGTTGTGGTGGTGGTTGTGGTGGTGGTGGTTGTGGTGGTGGTTGTGGTGGTTATGGTTGTGGTGGTTATGGTGGTGGTTATGGTGGTGGTTATGGTGGTGGTGGTGGTTGTGGTGGTGGTTGTGGTGGTTATGGTGGTGGTGGTTATGGTGGTGGTTGTGGTTATGATCATGGCTTTAGTTTTGGTTGTATCGGTGGTTGTAGTGGTGGTGGAGGTTGCAGTTGTGGTGTAGGTGGTTATGTTGGTTGTTATGGTAGTTGTGGCTCTGGTTGTGGTGCTTGTGGTGGTTTAGGTTGTGATTATAATTGTGGTTGTGTAATTTGTGGTTATATGTGCGGCTGTGGTGTTTGGTTATATTTGTTATAATTGTGTAGGTTGTGGTTGTAGTGGTCATAGTTGTGGTGTAGGTGGTTACGATGGTTGTTATGGTAGTTGTATTTTGAACTTCAATTGCACCCTACCCAGCCGACCGTGCTAATTGGAGGTATGATTATCGTTGCGGTTATTTTATGGTTGTTTTGGTTTTAGTTGTGGTGGTGATTGGTTGGTGCAGGTGCTGGGATGAAGGATGCGTTCCGTGTCCTCTGCCCATGCGGCTCCAACAACGATTGCTCCAGCCAGCACTGCCGCCCCTGTGGTCACATGACCTTGCCTCCCAGCATACCTTGCAGTCGTCATTGATTCTGGGCCATCTTTACCTCCTGCATCTCTATAGGAGCTCTCGCTTCCTCCACACACTCTCCTCCTACCTCTGCTCGCTCTCCCCGTGTCTCCATCCCCCCTCTTCTTTCTGGATGGTCCAGGTTCAGGGGTCAGGAGTTGACTGGCTGCACTCTGACCTTTGACCTTGGCTGTCACCCGAGTGGGATTATCTAACAGCAGTCAACCCATAGTATCAGGATCTGTCCCGTGACCTCCTCCTATACCTAGCCTGGAACAGCAGTCAACCTGTGGCACCCAGATCTGTCCTGTGACCTGCGGCACCTAGCCTGGCACAGCAGTAAACCCATGGCACCTGGGTCTGTCCCATGACCTCCTCATCCTGCAACTAGCATGGCACGTAAGTAAACCCATGGCACCTGGTTTGTTGTGATGACATTACCGCCACGTAGTGGCGAATTGCGGCCATTGTCGTTGTGAGTTTGTGGGCTTGTGTGTGAGTAATGGTGATTGAGTGTGTGACTATCATGTCGTGTGCGTGTGAGTTGGATGGTAGGGGTGTGTTTATGAGGGTGAGTGTGTGTGGGTGTGTGAGTATCATGGTGAGTATGTGAGTGATGGTATGTGACAGTGTGAGTTTGATGGTGATTGTATCATGGTGAGTGCAAGCAATACTGTGAGCTTGACTTATTTCCCCCCCCCTCCCTTTACCCACTCTTCCTCCCTCTCCCTGCCCTCCCCTCACTCTCCCCCAACCCTCTACTTCCCTGCCTCTATCCCTCTCGGCGTGGCCGAGTGGTTACTTCTAAAGAATTATGGAACTCTTTATCCCTCTCCTTTCTCCCGTAACTACCTCGCCTGTTATACAGGAGATCGTGGGTTTGATCCCTACCCTCACATCTGCTATATATTTCGAGTTTGCATGTCTCTCTCTCCCCGTGGTCGCGTTCAGAGTGTTTGGTTTCTATAAATGTCGACGTGATGATAGGCCACTTCGTTGACCTATCATTTGTGGCATTTTCCCGTCTGAAGAAGAGCTGTGTAGCACGGTGGGCATTACCTGGAAAAATTTAAATAGTTTAGTTTCCTCTTTTCCTCCTCCCTTCCTCCCTCTCCACACCCATCCCCCCCAGCACAACAACAAGAAGCAGGAGGAGGATGGTTTGTTTCCCAAGCCGAGCACTTCCGGGTCCACCTTCATGATCCTCCCTCTGCCCCGGGGGTGGGGGCGGGGAGATCCCCTTGAACAGGGTTACGGTACCCCACCCACATACATACGGGGTTGCGGTGCCCCCACTACACATACGCACAGGGGTACGGTACCCCCCACTCACATGCCAGGCTATGTGCACCACACAGAGACCCAAAGACTCGCACATAGATCCATAGACTCGCATAGACCCATTGACTCACACAGAAACCAATTAACTCAAACAAAGACCCGTCGAAACACGGACAATATATTTACACAAAGACCCATAGACTCATACAGACTCATCCACTTGTGCACCCACCCACTCAACGACTCACAGGCTTACTCGCTCACCCAATCTCTCACCTACTCAGCCACTCACTCAGAAACTCACTCAAGAACTCGCTCACCCATTTACCCACCCATTTGCTCACCCACTCGTGCATCCACTCACAGAATCACTCGTAAACTCACTCACTCACACGCTCAGAAACTGACTCACAAAAGAATTCACCCACTCACTCGTGCACTCACTCGCCCACTTACCCATGCATGCACAGATTCACCCACTTACTTACTCGTTCACAGACTCCCTCTCTGATAGACTCGCTCATAGACTCACTTGCTCACAGACTCAATCACTCACAGACTCACTTAGAAGCTCTCACCCACTAACTTATTCATAAACTCACTCAACTACCGACCCCACTTACTTAAAAACTACTTCACTTATCCGCACCCACTCGCTGACCTACTTATTCATCCACTCGCTCAGCCACTCACTGACCAACTCACTCACAGACTCAGTCGCTCACTCATCCACTCACTCCGAAACTCATTCATCCACCTACCACTCAATAATTTCATTCATTCACTCATCCACTCACTCAACCACTCACTCATTCAACAACCCACTCACTCACCCACTCACTTGGAGACTCTCTCACCCACTCACTCACCTACTCGCCCAGTCTATTAGCCACTCATTCAGAAACTCACTCACCTACTCACTCACCCACAATCGATCAATCACTCATATACTAAATCACCCACCCACACACACACTCACCCACTCTTCCACTCACTTAAGAACCCACTCCCTCAACCACCAACTTAGAATATCACTCCTCCACTCACCTACCCATTTACTCACCCACTCGCTCACCCACTCATTCAACAACTTTCTCACTCGTGGACTCACTTGCTTATCTACTCACTCATCCATTCACTCATCCACTCGCTCATCCACTCACTCACCCACTCGCTCACCCACTCGCTCACCACTCGCTCACCTACTCGCTCACCCACTCGCTCACCCACTCGCTCACCCACTCACTCACAGACTGACTCAGAAACTCACTCATCCAAGCATTCACTCACTGACTCACTCACCCATTCATTTAACCATTCACTCACAGACTCACTCAGACGCACGAAGAAGCTCACTAACCCACTAACCGATTCAGAAACTCAGTCAACCACCAAATCACCTACTCAAAAACTCCTTTACTCATCCGCACTCACTCACTAACCTATCTACTCATTTACTCAATCAGCCACACTTACTCACTAACTCGCTCACTCATGCACTCAGAAAATCACTCATTCACTCACTTAGAAACTCCTACAATCACTGACCCACTCGCTCAAAAACTCACTCATCTACTCGCTCACTTTCTTATTTACTCACCCACTCCCTCACCAATTCACTCGTTTCCCCACTCATTCCTTCAGTCACTCACTCATTCAGCAACTCGGTCAATCATTATCTAATTCAATCACTCACCCATTCACTCGGAGACTCACTCGCTCACTCATCCTCCACTCACTCACCCACTAACCCACTCAGAAACTCATTCAGCTACTCACTCACCACTCATTTACCCACTCATCCACTCATTGAATAAATCACCTACTCGCCCACTTTCCTAACCACTCAATCAGAAACTCATTCACCTACTCACCCACACACTCACTCACCCACTTAAACTCGGGAGTGGGTGGTTTTAGAGTTCAGTGTTAATCATTGGGACTCCCATAGGGTTCAGTGTTGCTCACTGGGTCTCCCATAGGGTTGAGTGTTAATAAATGGGTCTCCCATAGAGTTCAGTGTTAATCACTGAGGCTCCCATCGGATTCAGTGTTAATCACTGGGTCTCCCATAGGGTTCAGTGTTAATCACTGAGGCTCCCATCGGGTTCAGTGTTAATCACTGGGGCACCCATAGGGTTCATTGTTAATCACTGGGCCACCCATAGGGTTCGGTGTAATCACTGGGGCTCCCATAGGGTTGAGTGTTAATCACTGGGTCTCCCATAGTGTTCAGTGTTAATCACTGGGGCTTCCATAGAGTTCTGTGTTAATCATTGGGGCTCCCTTAGGGTTAATGTTAATAACTGGGACTTCCATAGGGTTCAGTGTTAATCACTGGGGCTCCCATGGTGTTGAGTGTTAATCACTTGGTCTCCCATAGAGTTGAGTGTTAATCACTTATAGATTCGAAGCTTTCGTGACTGCAAGGATTCATACTTTTAGTTCTTTCGGTAAAGTCACGTAGGTAAAAAATGAAATTAAAATTTTTACCTACATGACTTTACCGAAAGTACTAAGAGTATGTTAATCACTTGGTCTCCCATAGGGTTCAGTGTTAATCACTGGGGCTCCCTTGGGGTTAATGTTACTCACTCCCATAGAGTTCGTTGTTAATTATAGATTTGAAGTTTTCGTGACTGCAAGGGTCCATATTCTCTGTTTTTTTCGGTAAAGTCACGTAGGTTACAAAATAAAATAAAAATAAATTAAATCACGACGTTTCGGAGGCAACACAAGCTTCCGTCTTCAGGTGGCACCGTCACAGCAGTAATTTTGCTGACGGTGCCACTTGAAGACGGAAGCTTGTGTTGCCTCCGAAACGTCGTGATTTCGTTGTTAATCACTGGGGCTCCCATAGGATTCAATGTTACACACTGAGTCTCCCATAGGGTTCAGTGTTAATCGTTGGGTCTCCCAAAGGGTTCATTGTTAATCACAGACCCATAGATTCCTAAAAACCTAACCCTATAAACACCTAAGCCTCTATACCCCTAACCCTCGAAACTCCTATACTCCGAAAACTATAACCCTCAAATCCCCTTCACCCTTAACACCCTAACCTTTTAATCCCTTAACCCTTAAACCCCTCACCCTCTAAACCCTTCACCCACTAAACCCCTCACCCTCTAAACCCCTATGCCTCTAAATCCAACCCCCTAACCCTTTGAACCCCTAACTTTCTCCAATCCCATAATAAAGGGTTTTTTTTTGCGGTAAGATCGTGTGAATATAAAGTGTCTTAAAACCCATCACCACACCGATACAGCCAATTAATAAAGTTTGTCACGTGAACAAAAAGTGCCAATTAGTTTCTACTTTAGCACATCGGTGTGTTGGAGACTAACCCAAATTAACCTTTATTATGAATAACCCCTCAACCCCATAACTCCCCCTGCGCCACCCCCCATGTCCCCCCTCACCCCCCTCACCCCCCCCAGCTGCTACTTCCGTTAAGGCCGGGGCAAGTGGAGGCGGCGCTGTGCATTGTGGGTGGCGAGAGGCTGATTTGGATTCCCTCTCACGGCCACCATTGGTGGTTCGCGAGCTTCTGAAGTGGCGGCTCGCTGGCTGGGCCTCCTCTACGTCGACTCAGCCAGAAGAATGTAAGAACCAAGCGCGGTGTGGACACATCAGCAGTGGCGCTGGTGGGGGGGAGACAAAGGAGTCACCTGGCCTACAAGGTGCCTCCTTTGTCTCCCTCCTCTCTCTCCCCGTGTCTCCCTCCTCTCTCTTCCCGTGTCTCACTCCTCTCTCTCCCCGTGTCTCCATCCTCTCTCCCCGTGTCTCCCTCCTCTCTCTCCCCGTGTCTCCCTCCTCTCTCTCCCCGTGTCTCCCTCCTCTCTCTCCCCGTGTCTCCCTCCTCTCTCTCCCCGTGTCTCACTCCTCTCTCTCCCCATGTCTCACTCCTCTCTCTCCCCGTGTCTCCCTCCTCTATCTCCCCGTGTCTCCCTCCTCTCTCTCCCCGTGTTTCCCTCATCTCTCTCTCCCCGTGTCTCCCTCCTCTCTCTCTCTCTCCCCGTCTCTCCCTCCTCTCTCTCCCTCCTCTCTCTCCCCGTGTCTCCCTCCTCTCTCTCCCCATGTCTCCATGTCCCCTTCTCTCTAGGTGGTGCAGGTTCAGGAGTTTACTGGCTGCACTCCGACCTTTGGCCTTGGCTGTCGCCCAAGTGGGATTGTCGCACAGCAGTCAAACCCATAGCATCAGTATCTGTCCCATGACCTCCTCCTGCACCTAGCCTGGCACAGCAGTCAACCCATGACACCTGGCTCTGTCTCGTGACCTCCTGCACATAGCCTGGCACAGCAGTCAACCCATGGCACCTGGGTTGTTGTGATATCACCATTATGTAGTGGAAAATTACGGCTGTTGTCGTTGTGAGTTTATAGGTTTGTGTGAGTAATGGTGCGTGTGTGACTTTAATGACGTGTGTGAGAGTAGGATGGTAGGGGTGTGTGAGTGTCATGGTGAGTGTGGGTGTGTGAGTATCATGGTGAGTGTGTGGGTGTGTGAGTGTCATGGTGAGTGTGTGGGTGTGTTAGATGGCTGGCAATGTTGGTGGGTGGTGATGATGATGCAAGCCTTGTGCTCGAGAATGGCACACTGAATTCTGAGTACCCTTCAAGTGCTGTCTGGTCCACATTGTAAAGGGCAGGACTTTCCCACCTGCTCTTTATTTAAGAGCAACGTTGGTCACAACAATGTTATTACTTCTTACAGCTGGAATTTATCCTAAGTACATGGAGAACCACATTGCAGCCATGTGATAGTTGATGTTGTGCAGTGAATGATGACCGGGCTAAGACCATTAACTCGCTCGACTTGAGAATCTGCTTTGATCACAGGTGACTGCCTGGATTCAATCCCAGGTACTCCGTGGTGCCAATTCAGTGCTATGACCGCAAGGTCCATGGGCCACCTCTAAACACCCCCACGTTAAAGACATAAGCAGCAACCTGTTTAGTGAGCAGCAGCATTCTTTAAATATTTTTCCAAAGCAATTGGGATTGTGGAGCAGTGGCACAGTCCTGCATTTCCTTTCTCTTTAATCCACCAAATGCAACTTGCCGCTCGATTGTGGCGCACCCATTTTTACACTTGTTTCAACTGCTGTGGCAGATGGTGGAGCAGAGGGGCAGTGGAGCAGATTGGCAGTGGAGCAGGACAGTAAAGCAGAGCGCAGTGGAGAAGTGGGGCAATAGAGCAGAGGAGCAATGGAGCAATGAGGCAGTGGAGCAAAGGAGCAGTGGGGCATTGGAGCAGTGGATCAGTGGGGCAGATGAGGGGTGGATTTGTCGTGAAGAAGGCGAATCATCTGAATATGTGCTCTGAAGAAGAAGCCATTTCCCAAAACGTCTCTTTTTATCTATGTCCTTGTCCCGCCGCACACACAGCCGGGACACGGCACACACGAGCCAAGGCACATTTAACCAACCCAGGCAGCACTCGCAAGCAATGCAACATTACGTTGTGTCCTCATGAGTTGATTTCACAAAGTTTATAGTAACAACAACAACAAAAATATTGATCCTAATTCTTAACCGGGTGGCCTTAAGACTTGGCACGTGCAGGTTTTGTTCATTGTCTGCACCAGACCCCTGCAGCCGTCTCTTTCTGGGTCAGCTGCCCCTTACATGTCCTGGAAACCATGGCAAGGTCATCGCATGAGGACCGCCTGGATGAAAACCAGCATGGAAGGGGCCCAGTGTGGGGCCGGCTATGCTAATGGAATAGTCCCATGTGTGTGTGTGTGATGTGAGGTGTCCTGGAAGCAGTCATTCTCCGCTGCAGTACTGGCATCTGCTGCTCAGTTTCATCCCCCAGCTGTGGTCCCAGTGGCACCGTGGGTCGTGTGGTGATAGCAGTCACGGTTGGCGCCGATCCGCGGCCACCACCCCTACTGGGCGGTGTACCTGCCTCCACAAAGTAGCATGTGGCGGAGGAGTGAGGTGAACGCTCTCGCCATGCGAGCGAGGCCCCCTCGCTTCCTCTTCTTTTCGTGCATCTCCACCTGCACCTCCTCCATCTTCTCCTCTGTCTCATCCTCCATCCCCTCTTCTCCTCCTCCACTAGCACCATCTCTTCTTCCTCCATCTTCTCCTCACCCTCCTGCACCACCATCTCCTCCACCCTCTTCTCTTCCTCCTCCACCACCACCATTGTTTCCGCTTTGTCCATCGTCTCCATCTCCTCCACCACGACCATCTGTTCATCCTTTGTTGTCTCCTTGTCCTCCATCTCCGTATTGTCTTTATCCTCTCCCTCCGTGCTCTCCTCCATTGTCGCCATCACAATCTCGTCCTCCTTTGCCTTCTCTTCCTCCGTCTCTACTTCATTCTCCATCTCCTTCACCTCTTCCTTCGTCTCCTTCTGCACAACCTCTGACTTCGCTTCAAAGGCCTGGACGAGTGGGGAGGAGGGCTGCTTTGGCTCAGATCTGTGAAGAGACAAACACGACACCGTTCCACCTTCCTGCTACGGCAGACATCGCCATCTCCCATGGTCCGTGGGTGTAATGCGTGGCGGATTAATTCAAGCTTAATACAAACAGCAATAACGACATGGCCAGTGAGTGTGCTTAGCATTGGCGCTGTCATTCTCATGGGGCAAGGCTATCCTTGAGATTGATTCAGCTGTGTCTCACACAGACTGTTGTAGTTTCACAGTAGTGAGTGGCCTTGCTGTGTCAATTTAGCTGAATCATTTGTAGTGACATTTATCTTTCTATGTGTATTCTAATTGATCCCTTGGACATAATGGCCTACGCATTTAAACTGACATCGGTGGAGATCATGAACGTCCACTGTGATGGAATGGGTGTGTATCTTTGTGGTTAATGCAGCGGCAGTAATAGCCAGGGCAGGAAGCAAGATCTGAACTGTAAGTGGTGAGCGATGAGTGCGCGATCCTTTGGCTGCTTCAACCCATCCACGATTTCGATAAAAGATCCGACAGTGATTTGAGGTCGACAGAGCCGCCTCCCTTGACGTCGAAGGCATCTCAGAGTGCATTGAGCGCAATGAGCCACTCACATCTCTCATCTCAACGCATTTGAAATTGGACACCCCTCCCAGTGGTCGCTGTGTCTGTGCATTACAAGGCAACTTGTCAACTGGCCTGGAAACAGGCATGAGATTGCGAAATTATCACTGTGGATGGAGGGTTAAATGGTGAAATATGGCCGCATCGTTATCTGGTCTCACCCAGAAACCAATTATGGAAAGTAAATCTGTCCACAGTATAGCGCAATGTACACGTGGGGTTTGCAGTGTCTGTATATTTTGTGAGTGCGGCAGGGCTGGAGCACCTGTGCCTCACAGCAAAAGGGACCTGGGTTTGATTTCCACGTTGGGCCACGTTATCTGTGTGGAATGTGGTGCCCCCTGTTCTAGGAAGATTCAGCAGCTTTCTCCCTGTAACTGAACCCACACAATCAATGCAAATCGCTCCATTTGGATCACAAACAGCAGAAACTTTGTTACCAACTGCGAGCAAACTTGACAGGACCCTCCTGAAAAAAGTCTTGAGACTTAGTGAGGCTCATCCTGCCTAAACAAGCATGATAATAAATGAAAATAAACACACAGGACACATGCAAGAGTGGTTTACCGTGAATCAGCGGCTCCAGCGTTTACTTTTTCTTCTTGGAAGCCCTCTTCTCCAAAGCTCGGAGCAATCGGGCCCTGCACAGGAGTGGCGGTGGTGGTGGCGGCGGAGGTGGTATTGGTGGTGGTGCTGCTGGTGGTAGCGGTCTGGAGGCAGTGTTGCTCGATCTTGGCGAGGCGCTGCTCCTCGAGGCGCTTCTGCATGAGACGTTTCTCCTCGACAAGCTTCACCTTGCCAAGGCGCCTCTCAAGATGCTTCTTCTTGAAACGCTTCAGCTCTATGAGACGCTTCACCTCAGAGGCGATTGTCTTCCTTGACCCGCCTCTCCTCTATGAGGCGCTTCTCTTCCTCCACCCGCCTCTCCTCTGAGGCGCTTCTCCATGAGGCGCTTGTCTTCTTTGACCCGCTTAGCTTCTATGAGGCGCTTCTCCTCATCGACATACTTCACAATGGCGAGGCGCTTCACCTCAGCAAGGTACTTTACCCTGGCAAGACGCTTCTCTTCCAGATGCTTCTCCTTGAGATGCTTCACGTCGCGAAGGCGCTTTTCCTCCATGAAGCGCGTTTCCTCAAGGAGGCGCTTTTCCATGACGCGTTTCATGTCATTGAGGATCTTGTTTCTAAGGCACTTCTGCTCCGTGAGGTGCTTCAGCTTGGCGAGGCGCTTCACCTCAATGGGGCGCTTCTCTTCCATGATGCGCTCCTCCACAAAGCGCTTCTCCTTGAGATGCTCCTCCTGGAGACGCTTCACTTCTGCGAGGTACTTCACTCTGGAGAGACGCTTCTCCTCACGGAGCCGCTTCTCCTCCATGAATCGCTTCTCCATGGAGCGCTTCTCCTCAATGACGCACTTCTCCATGAGGCAGTTCTTGAGGAGATTGTCTGGAAGGCATTTCTCCTCTGGGATGTGCGTCACCCTGGCAAGGCGCTTCATCTCAATGAGGCGGTCCTCTTCCATGGTGCGTTTCTCCTTCGCAAGGTGCCTGTTCTCCTGGAGACGCTTCACCCCGCTGAAGTTCTTCACCTCCCCAATGCTCCTCTGTTCACGAAGAAAAGCACAGGACCATTCAGACATGCACACGCAGGACAAAATTCATACTCCCAGGCACACAAACATGGACGGGCACGTACACGAACAAAAATGCATACTCGCACATCTATGTACGAATGCAAACATGAACATTTACTCATGCAAACATGCTAGAACACGTGAATATACACCACCTATTGTTATAAAAAATACATGTTACATCATATATTCTCACAAGTTCCATAAACGTACTTAAGGCTGTGATAGTCTGCGACGAGTTCATGGCCATTGTTGGCAACAATCATTACGGGCAAAAAAATGTCCACAATGTTCGATTGTAAAGATCTGGAAGCCCATAATCTAGACAAATTTTACTGCAGCATCGATAGTAGGCAACTGGAATGGCAACTTCCAATCAGCTCACAGACAGAATTCATGAGATTGCATAATATCATTCTGTCTTCATTGGCAAAATAAATGGCAACTTGAAGTGCCTGCACGAGTGGGATATGGCAGCACGTGATGGTGGAGAGATGGAGTGATGGTGTCGGGAGATGGTGTTGTGATATGGAGGTGAAATTGTGGAATGTTCTGGAGAGATGGTGTCTTGTGATGGTGTTGACGCATTATGAGGCTCTATGATGGTCTATTGAGTTGGTGGTGGTGTGATGAGAAAGGTGACGTGGAGAGATGGTTTGGTGATGTTTTGGTGCAATGGTGTGGTGAAATGGTGTGCTAGTGTGGAGTGAATATGGTGTGTTTGACCCCCATATATCCCATAGCCACCTTTGGGGAGCGATGCTCGTAGCTTTGGCCTGGGAAAGGGTCCACTTCATCCATAATGTCCCCCCACGTGGTCGACTGGAGCCACGACTCCCAGTCTATGGAGAACAGAAAATGCATTCAAAGGACCAGTAATGAATTAGAGAACGAAGCACATGAAGAATCACAGAACTAATTCTGACGTCCGTCATTACCTCTTACCACACAATAGGACCGGCTATTGAGAAATATTCATCACATGGCAGTAAAACTTTACGCGTCATATTTTTGTAAGCATGTTGAGATCATCAATTTCATAAACTTGAGACCCCCATTCTCTTAGGTTTTTTTCGGTAAAGTCACGCTTGCTGTATTAAGTAAATGACTTTTACTTGATACAGCAAGCGTGCTGTGACGGTTCCACCTGAAGACGGAAGCTTGTGTTGCCTCCGAAACGTGATTTTTATTTTACTTTTATTAATTTAAATTTTATTTTTTTACCTACGTGACTTTACCGAAAAAACCTAAGAGTATGAATCCTTGCAGTCACGAAAGCTTCAAATCTAGAATTGAGACCCCCATTTAAACAAATATGGCTGAAACTCAGATCTGGAACGAGACAAATTATTTTACTTTAAGGAATTTAATAGTTAAAAATTATTCTCAATTAAACAAGTAAAGGTCGATTTATCATTCTTCATTGACATCCTTATCGATTGAAGCTATTCATCCTGAAGTGAAAGCCATCAAACACAGGAACAACGAAAGTGAAATCCACGTACATCCTGAAACCGATCATCTGCAGTAGTTTTTATTAAACAATGAGGAAAATTATTTTGTTTTTGAGCAAAGTTATGATCACAGGGTAATCTGCAGAGCGAGGAGTCGAGCGTCTATCCTCAGTGAAATCCCTCTCGAAATGGTCTTGAGGTCTGATTTTAAGCCCCTTATAATTCCCCTCTAGCATACAAATCCTTTGTTCTCGACTTGGCCTATCATGGACTTTGCATTCAAATGTTAATTTTTACATTTACAATCCGCATATATAGCAACATAGCTTAGCTAATCTTGCCATTATAATTTAACCTTAATACATATACATATCTCACTGAATAATTGTATGCTTCCGTTTAAATAAAGATTTTCATCTCCATGCATAATTCCGTGCTTTGTGTTAATTTGCTAATATTCACCCGACAATGTCCTCTAAAATGATGCAAGTTTTGAGGATTTAACATCGAAGTATCAAAATGGTGATGTCCAGTTGGATTTGGACTAAGAGGTGCAAATGTATGCCGTACTGACTTTGTTTTATAAAAAAAATATTTAAGTACTTGTGTTGATGAGCGCGTCAGAACAATCAAGGTGATTTGTTTAATTTAATCCACGAAAATTATTACGATTGCTGTCATACACTTTTAATGAAAATCGAAATGGTATCGCTTGTAAGCGTGTGTATATACACTGCTGTGTATGTACACTTGTCTTTGACTCGTGTGTGTACAGGTGTTTGTTGGAAGCATTGTACATATAACGAACGCTCAGATAACTTTAAGAAATAAAAATTGTAGTCATCTGCAAAAAAATTAACGTTAATATTGCTATGCATACACAATCGCGTGTGTATGTACACTGCATTGTATGTCTGTATGTACACCTTTGTATATGCACACTCGTGTGTGGTTGCACACTGCTGTATATATATATAGTGGTGCTTGGATGCACACTCGTGTGTGCATGTCTACTCGTCCGTGTTTTTTTAAGGAAAGATATGGTAGCAATAACGTACGATCAGTCATCTTTAAAAACAAATCAGGTTTTTATTAATCTGCAAAGATATTTTTTATTAATCTGCAAAGATATTTACGTTAAAACTCGTATCGAAATCTTTATTAATATTCGTTTGGTCAAACAGTTAAGGAACGAGACAAATTATTTTATTTTCAGGAATATAATAGTTTAAAATCTTCTCAAAATAAAACACGCAAATGTGGATATATCGTTCCCCATTGACATCCTTATCGAAGGCATCAAACACAGGAACAACGAACCTGAAATCCACGTACATCCTGAAATCTATAATCTGCAGTAGTTTTTATTAAACAATTAAAATAAAGTTATGATCACAGTTATTCTCCAACTTTAGCTCAACAAGACCACTTAGCCACGAGAGTAAATTCAGGAATTGGACCACCTCACAACCACTGCGCTTCACACCACATCAACAAGTAATCCGATAGGACTACAAGGCACCACTTTAACGTGACGAAGTCTAGAATGAACTTCAACACGCAAGTAGCTGTGAGACGATCACAACACATGGCACCTTCTACCATAAACACCACACATTAAATAGTACCGATGATACAACCACCAGACAGCATCGCATCTATCGAAATATAAAATTGTTGTCATCCTGAAATAAGTGAACACTTTTAGAACTTTAAAGGAAGACTTTTTTTCCGAACACATTATAGAGCATTCACAACATCACTCTAGCTTGGAGCACTGGAAATCACGCAAATAATAACTTGTACCTCATTGATTGATCTAACAGAGACACAAACATGCACATTACAGGACTTAAAAAGTTAACAGAAGTACTCAATACATTGACTCTCCAGCCATCATCATCATCACCAACCATCAAAATCACTATCCATCACCATTATAAACACCCATTATCATCAACCACCTATCAACACCATGACCCATCATCACCACCCCTCATCACCACAGATTATCATCGTAACCCATCATCATCAGCACCGATCGTCATCTTTACCCATCAGCACAACCCATCATCATCAGCAACAACCATTATAATCACCATCCATCACATTCATCACCATCATGAACCATCGTCACCCATCATCACCACCTACCCATTATTATCACCACCCATCATAAATTAACACGTAAACAGCTACAAACATAGATATGTAAACTGACACAAACATAACAGACACACAAATAAACAATCTCTTTAACGACTTAATAATAACAAAGTCAATATTACCCGTGCCAGGCTAGGTGCACACAGACAAATCCATTGCACAATAATTTACATGTAACTCAAATTCACACTTAGTACTACCACCTCGCTCACTTAAACATAACTACATAGATTAAGAAAACCATGAATTTAATAGTAAATAAACCAATAAGATTGTGTTTATACGCTTGCAATTTAATGAATGAAATACAAGTTCATAATTCAAATTATACAAAAATTAACCCGTAAAAACAAAGTTTTTCACTATAAATCCTTTATATGCGTGTTTAATGGGCCACAACCCAGCCCACATTGGTCTTTGAAACGGGCGGCGAGAGTCCTCTCGTCATCTGGCTTGAGATGGCTGCCACCTATGGGTCAGATGATTGCCTGCCACCATTAAGCAATTGGTAATTAAATATACTTTTTTTTACCTAAAAAGTGTAAAATTTTGGAAAGAAAATTTCACGAATATAAAATGTCACACACAACGAGTCTGTGTGCAAAATGTCAGCTCGATTGTATCACGGGAAGTGGGTTAAAAAATCGACCGAAAGATTTGCACGGTCGTAAGCGCGCAAGCAAGCAAGCAAGTGAACTTTTAATATGAAGCCTGAGGCCGAGGTGTATGGCAGGCCTAACGGCCAGGCCTCCCCTCTGTCCTCTTCGCAGGAATGGCGACATCAAAGAGCACAAAGCAAGGGGGCAAATGTTTAATTTCTGTAGCGTAATTTAGACTAATTAGAGACTACAAACACTATGTACACGATGTACACACAGCTACACAACGCGCACACACACTCGCCACACTTTCTCGACAAAACACGAACTGCACTCTCTCACTCACTCTGCCACTCACTCTGCCACACTCTCTCTTTCTCATTAACTCACTGTCTCTCACTAACTCACTGTCTCTCACTCACTCACTGTCTCACTAACTCACTGTCTCACTAACTCACTGTCTCATTCTATCACACTCACTGACTCACTCTGCCACTCTCAAGCTCTAACGCACTCAATCTCACACCCACTTATTCACTCACACCCACTCACTCAATCTCTCACCCACTCAATCTCTCACCCACTCACTCAATCTCTCACCCACTCACCCATTCACTCACCCATGCACTCACCCACTCACCCACCCACTCACCCACTCACCCACCCACTCACCCACTCACCCACCCACTCACCCACTCACCCACCCACTCACCCACTCACTCACCCACTCACTCAATCTCTCACCCACTCACTCCGTCTCTCACCCAATCGCTAATCGCTCACCCACTCACCCATTCACTCACCCACCCACTCACCCATTCACTCAATCACTCACCCACTCACTCAATCTCTCACCCACTCACCCATTCACTCAATCACTCACCCACTCACCCACTCACCCATTCACTCAATCACTCACCCACTCACCCACTCACTCAATCTCTCACCCACTCACTCACTCAATCACTCACCCACTCACCCATTCACTCACCCTCGCTGTGTTGACCACGGAGTCTGAAGTCGAACCCAGGACCTGCTGTTTCCGGTCCCGCGCACAACCAGCACTGCACCACGTGATGCGCCAGCCGGGCTCGTGGGGGGCGGAGCCTCGCGCTAGTGACGTCACCTCTGTTACGTCACAGCCACGCCTCCACCCACAGTGGAGAGGAATGCACACGAGGGAGCAGCAGAAGAAGCCTTTTGAGAGCGAATCCTCAACGAGGTGAGCGACCCTGTTGACGATGAATGTGGTTTCTTTTTATTTTACATTTTGACCACAAGCTTCATTATTTTTTATGTTTATATGTAGATTTTCTGCAATCAAATTAGAACTGTTAAATAGGTTACTTGGCATGCCCTGAAATGTTGCTGTTACTGTCGTTGTTAAGACCCCAGGCGAGTCAGAATTTAAGACGAGCATAACTAACCCGTTTAAATATCATAAAATATGAATAACATATCTACAATTTGAATCTTTCGTGACTGCAAGGATTCATACTCTTAGGTTTTTTCGGTAAAGTCACATAGGTGATTTATTATATTATTATTATGTTATTATTTTATTTCTATTATTAATTATATTCTTGGTTCTTTCGGTAAAGTCACGTAGAAGGGAAGTAATAAAATAATAAAAATAAAACATAATAAAATAAAATAATTCTCACGACGTTTCGGCTACAACGCAAGCAGCCGTCTTCAGGTGAAGAATGAGACAATGCCAAGTTATTGCCAAGTTATTGTCTCATTCTTCACCTGAAGACGGCTGCTTGCGTTGTAGCCGAAACGCCTTGAGATTTATTTTATTTTATTATGTTTTATTATTATTATTTTATTACTTCCCTTCTACGTGACTTTACCGAAAGAACCAAGAAGATGAATCCCTGCAGTCACGAAAGCTTTAAATCGAAAATTAATTATATTATTATTTTATTATTATTTATTTTTACCTACGTGACTTTACCAAACAAACCTAAGAGTACAATTATTATGTTCTGATTGCTGGTACAATTGTGTCCTACATTATATGTACTGAATTTTATTCAACATTTTGGGAGGAGTCTGCCTTTAAGTTCAGACCCTAGCCACTGCCATAGTTGCCTCCAATCTGTGATGTCACAGCCACATGGGTGGTACCTCTGACATCAAGTGACCTACGACGTCATGCTCGGGTTATAACAAATTATTTAGGTATGGTCATATGACCCTAATGACCTACAAGGCATATGGGTCTTTAATCAAGCAGTCGATTAATACAAATGGACTGTACATGAACATGCATGTCTAGATTAGAGGTGAAATATAATTGTTAAGTCTGGTGATTATGTTTAATGAAATAGGCAGTTGGAATAAACATGTTCGTGTGGGTGGATGAGTGAGTGATCGGGCGCACACATGAGTGGGCAAACAAGCGAGTGAGTGGGCTTTTAAAGCAACAGTCACGATAGTCTTCTTGGTTCTTTCGGTAAAGTTACGTAGAAGGGAAATAATGAAAATAAAACATAATAAAATACAATTCTCACAACGTTTCGGCCACAACGCAAGCAGCCGTCCTCAGGTGAAGAACAGGGCTGTCGAAAAGACAGCGTCTGAATGAACACCACCAAGCTTGGCAGCGTATATTTAAGCTGGGTTAGAGGGGGAAGGGCGCCTTGACAAAGATATTTGCATATCAACAGAATTTTAGCATATTTATGGAAAATGTAGATATGGGATTAGTCACTACTTGTGAAATGCGTAGGAGGTGGGGGGTGGGGGGTATCAAAGTCATATTATGCCCGTGCATTATGTAGGATTAGCAGCAACAACAAAAAAGTCCCGATAGTGTTTTAGATTTAAAGCTTTCGTGACTGCAAGGATTCATACTCTTAGGTTTTTTTCGGTAAAGTGACGTAGGAAAAAATAAATAATAAACATAATATAAATTATAATAGAAATAAAATATGAAATCACGACGTTTCGGAGGCAACACAAGCTTCCTTCATCAGGTGTAAAAAAGCACAGCAAAATAACTACAGTAATTACAGTTATTAACTACAGTTATTTTGCTGTGCCTTTACACCTGATGAAGGAAGCTTGTATTGCCTCCAAAACGTCGTGATTTATTCTTTTATTTCTATTATTATTTATATAATTTTTATTATTTATTTTTATTATTTATCTATTTTTACCTACCTGACTTTACCGAAAAAAAACCTAAGAGTATAGTCACGATAGTGATTGGATTGGTACAATGAGTGGTCAAATATGTATTAATTAAGAGGATGAGTGATTCAAAAGTTTGCTAAATCTGAGCATTGTTCCAACCTCCCCAGGCCATCCAACTTCAAACAAAATCTACTCCTTCCCAACAACATGGACAGACAAATCACGTGGGCTGAGATCTTGGATGACTATGAGGGTAAGTCCCAGATACCTGCATCACATGGATTATATGCGGAGGAGGAGGCTCCTTGATAAATTAGTTTTCGTAGACATGGCTTGGTGGTAATGGGAAGACGTAATGATCGAGTGTGGCAAATAGGATGGGTTTAGATTTGAGTTTCTGCCATCTTCGTTCATACTCGGTTCTCAAGCTTAGGTAATTTACGGTCTCAAAATGCCGACAAAAACATGACTTGTAAAGTTTGAATGCCGTGTGATGACTATTTCTCAATAGCAGGTCCTGTTGTGTGGTAAGAGGTAATTACTGGGATCTCAAAAGTAGTTCTGTGAAATTCAATGTACTTCGTTCTCTAATTCATTACTCGTCCTTGGAATGCATTTTCTTTTCTTCATAGCCCGGGAGTCGGCGTGCCAGTCGACCACGTGGGGGGACGTTATGGATAAGGTGGACCCTTTCCCAGGCCAAAGTTACAAGAATCGCTCACCAAAGGTGTGTATGGGTTCTAGATTTGAAGCTTTCGTGACTGCAAGGATTCATACTCTTAGTTATTTCGGTAAAGTCACGTAGGTATAAAATGAAATTAAAATAAATAAAAATAAAATAATAAAAATCACGACGTTTCGGAGGCAACACAAGTCTCCGTCCCAGGTGGGACCGTCACAGCTGAATTTGCTGTATAAAGTGAGGCAGGGATTCCAAGATGCAAGTTCTTAAATACAAGTTAAGGAGGGAGGAGGGGGGAGGAGCTTATCAGAATGTGGTAGCCAATGAATGGAACGTATTGGGGGAGGGGGCGGGGCTAGAAGAGAGCACGATGTGTATGGGGTCTGTAGGGTTAAAACACACGACATTGTCTCGAAAACTAGCACACCATGTCACCTCACCAGCACACCAACATATCACGACACCAAGTCTCCCCATCACTTTTCTCATCACACTACACGACCATCAATTCAATACACCATATTAGAGCCTCATCGTGCCTCTATACCATCACAATACACCATCTCTCGAGAACATTCCATTACTTCTCCTCTCCATATCACAACACCATGTCCCGACACCATCACCGCATCTCTTCATCATCCCAGTCATGCAGGCACTTGAAGTGGCCATTACCAATGAAGACAGAATGATATCAGGCAGTCACATGAATTATGTCTGTGAGTTGATTGCAAGTTGCCATTCCAGTTCCCCACTATGGGCGCTGCAGTGAAGTTTGTCCAGAGTATGGGCTTCCAGATATTTATATTGGGACATTCTGTGAAATCTATTGCCAGTGATGATTATTGCCAACATTTGCTATGAAACCGTCACAATCGAGAAAAGTCTTGAGTGCATGCATGGGGTTTGTGAGGATATATGAGGATGTGACATGTATTTTGATTCTATAGGAGTTGGGATATTTAGGAGTTAGTATTACACGTACAATGTAATACAAGTATTGATGGATAAGGCATTCTGTTAACAGTAGGTGATAGTGTATATTCAAGTGTGTACTAAGCAAGTTTGAGTGACTGAATGTGGGTGGCTGCATCTGTATATACATGTGTATGTTTTTTTGTTTGGGTTTATGTGCACGTCCACGTTTTCGTGCCTGTGGGTATGAATGTTTGCTTGCATGTGCATGTCTGAATGTTCCTTTGCTTATCTTTGCTTGATCAGAGGATAATTGGAGAGTTGAAGGACGTCAGCGGGGTGAAGCATCTCCAGGAAAAGAACCTTGGCAAAGAAAGATGCACCATGGAAGAGGAGCGCCTCTTTGAGGTGCAGCGCATTGCCAGGGCGAAGTGCCGCACAGAGGAGAAGTACTTCCGAGATTATCTCCTCAAGAAGCGCCTCATTAAAGTGAAGTACTTCATTGATGAGAAGCATCATCGCGAGATGAAGTGTGCTGAGGAGAAGAGTCTGGAGGAGGAGGAGAAGTGTCTCGACAACGTGAAACACGTCGAGGAGGAGAAGCGCCTTGAGCAGGAGCAGCGCCTCGCCAGCATTGCTACCATCACCACCACCGCTACGGCCGGCACCTTCACCCCCACCCCTGCCACCGCCAACGCCACCACGGCCACCACCGCCACCACGGCCACCACCGCCACCACGGCCACAACCGCCACCACTGCCACAAAACCCGCCGCCACCACTGCCACCACCGCCACCACCGCCACCACTGACACCGACGCCGTTGCCGCTACTGCCACAAAACCGGCCGCCACCTCTGCCATTGCCACCGCCACCACCGTCACGACCGCCAACACTGCCGCCACTGCCACCACCGTCACCACCACCACCACTGCCGCCACTGCCACCGCCACCACCTCCACCACCGCCACCACCGCCACCACCACTGCCACGACGGCCACCACCTCCATCTCCGCCACCACCGCCGCCGCCGCCATCACCACCATCGTCACGACCGCCGCCACCACCGCCACCCCTGCCGCCGCCACCGCCGCCACCGCCATCACCGCCACCACCACCACTGCCACCGCTGCCGCCGCCACTGCATTCACCACCATCACCGCCACCACCGCCACCACGTCTACCGCCACCGCATCCACCTCTGCCACTCCTGTGCAGGGCCCGATTGCTCCAAGCTTTGGAGAAGAGTGCTTCCAAGCAGAGAAGATGGAGAAGAAGACAGAGGTGGAACAGGAACACGAAGAGGAGAAGGTGGAGGTGGTGGAGGACGAGGAGGTTGAGGAGGAACAGGAGGAGAGAATGGAGAACAGACAAGGGAGAGAAGATGGTGGTGGAGGATGAAGAGGAGATGGAGGACGAGACAAAGCAGGAGGTGGAGGAGGTGCAGGTGGTGGAGGTGGTGATGCAGGGAAAGAAGAGGAAGCGAGGGGGCCTTGCTCGCGTGGCGAGAGCGATCACCTCACTCCTCCGCCGCGTGCTGCTTTGTGGTGGCATGTCCACCACACAATAGGGGTGGTTGTTGTGGTCGTGGATCGCTGCCAACCATGACCACTATCACCAGACTATCCACCCACCCCGTGACACATGCCACCCACTCACCCACACACCCCGTGATACTCGTCACACACACACCACATGGTTCGCCGGAGAGACGGTGCCACTGGGACCACAGCTGTGGAAGGAATCTGAGCAGCAGATGCCAGGACTACAGTGGAGAACGACTGCTATCAAGACACCTCACACAACAAACACACACGGGACTAGCCAAAAAACATAGCCGTCCCCATCCTGGGCCCCTTCCATGCTGGTTTTCATCCAGGCAGTCCTCATGGGGTGACCTTGCCATGGTTTCCAGGACATGGAAGGGGCAGCTGACCCAGGACGAGAGAGCTAGAGGGGTCTTGTACAGACAATTGACGAAACCTGCCACGTGGCAAGCCCCAGAGCCACTCCTGTAAAGAATAAGATTCAATACCATTGTTGTTGCTGGTACTATATAAACTTTGTGAAATAAACCCATGATGACACAACATAACGTTGAATTGCTTGCAAGTGCTGTCTGTGTTGGGTAAATGTGCCTTGGCTCGGATGTGAGGTGTCCCAGCTGTGTGTGTGGCAGTACAAGTGTAATGAGTGACTTCCACGACACGTCACATAGAGGGTACTTCTTTATTTCTCACAGTGGGCACAATACAGGCCAACACTGGTTCTTACTCTCACTGAATAGAACTCTCGGCAATAACACCTCTACTGGCTGCACGCAGAGTCGATCACTCAGCGTGGTCCCCTCGCCCTCACTCGTCTCGCCGCTGGCTGGCGGCATGATGATGACGGCGATGTAATCATTCAGGAGATCTTCCACGTGGCCGGACAACGGAGAGAGATTTTGGTGAACAGCGACACAGCCAGGACCCAGGACCCCACACGAGCCCCGAGCTCCGGTTCCACTCCCCATTATATTCCCCCAGGTGTGCCTAAGCCCCGCCTCCAGCCACGCCCTTTCGTGGAACCTTCGAGCAGATTCCCCGAGCATTTCGGCTAACCCCACCTGTTTGCTTTGCCCCAGATATGCCTCCTTCACTGATTGGCTGTTACTTCTGTGCCTGTACCCGTCAATGCCTTCCCAGGACAGCAGGTGTCACTTTGTCATGTCAACAGGTGTAACCCTGTCATTACACAAGGACAAACATATGAGAGACGTTACTCCTACTTAAAGAACAGGTGGGAGGGTCCTGCTTTTTACTATGTGGACCAGAGGGCACTTGAAGTGTACTCAGAATTAGTTCTGTGATATCAGCTTCAGTGGGCCATTCTCTAACACAAGGCTTGCAATGGTCTGCTAGAGACACGAATGGATAATTGGTTCCATGGCAGGATGGCGACATCCCAACACGGGTTAAAATGTTGTGAAAATTTGAACATGCGGGTTTATGAATCAAATACGTTGCAGTTGTATTACAACTGAAGTGGCTTTTCGGCATGGAGGTAGGGTAGATGTGAAGTTTAATAACAATGTGTACCCCGTCCTTTTTAACGACAAAGTAAAGATTCAGAGTGAATGTACATCCACTATCGTTACTATCCACATACAAATATAAAACACACACATTGCATGGAATTGTCCAAGTGTCTGACGAAGTCATTACGAACAACGTGAGATCGTAAAATCTGGGGGGAGCATTAAGGATCTCAGCGTTGATAGATCAGTGTCTCTCACACAGACACTCACCCAGAAGCATGTCGATACACACACAGAGACCAAAAAAACCGATACGCTGTCTTTCTGACAGACCTGTTCTTCACCTGAGGACAGCTGCTTGCGTTGTGGCCGAAACGTCGTGAGAATAATTTTATTATGTTTTATTTTTATTATTTTAATATTTCCATTCTACGTGACGACTTTACCGAAAGAACCAAGAAGATGAATCCCTGCAGTCAAGAAAGATTTGGATCGAAATTTAACCCATATAGCCTTCAAGAGACTTTTGGGGCAAGTGCTGTTAGAAAGCACAAATCCTTTGTTCACGGCTTGGCCTATCAAGGATTTTGCGTTCAATTGTAATTTTTTTTACATTTACAATCCGTATATCAATCAACATAGCTTATCTAATCTGGCCATTGTAATTAAATCTTAATATGTATGTGCATCCCACTGCATAATTGTACGTTTCCGTATGAATAAAGATGTACATCTCCATGCATAAGTCCGTGCTTCCTGTGAATTTGCTAATATTCACCCGACAATGTCCTCTAAGCTGCAGCAAGTTTAGAGGATTAAACAACGACATACAGTCTGAAGAATCAAAATGATGTTGTCCAGTTTAATTTGGACTAAGAGGTGCAAATTTATACTCTACTGACTTTGTTTTATAAATACATTTAGAGACACTCATGATGAGTGGGGTGCTTCTAGGAAACGAGTTTGTTTTGTTATAATTTTAGTCAAAAACTTTGAACAATCATCCGAATGGTTTAGCCTATAAGCGTGGTATATAATAAAGTTACGCAAAAAAAACAATCGTCACCTTTTGGTCTGTAACATACGACCTTCGGTGTGTATATACACCAGTGTGTTTGTGTTCAATATTTTGCACGTGTTTAATATTTTGGACGGGTTTTTAAGGTAATTGCATTGAATATTGAGGGGTTACCAGCCACTCGCACCCGTCCAGAGACCTCGTGGGCCGCTGTGGTGGCTACGAGCCTTCCCTCTGGGAAACTGCTCACATCTACCACAGCGTTACCGTCCGAGACCGTCAATGAAGGAAGGGGTTTGTTTTTGCAAAACTTTACTCGTGGCAGGGGTTTGGCAAAAAACAGGGAGTGCCTCCTTTTGAGGAACAAAAACGAATGAAGGGGGCGTGGGAGCGTGGCGTAAGGTGTGGAAAGCTGCAAGTCACAGGTATCATTCAAATTGGGGCAATTACACCAGCACAGAAATGGTGGGGTCGTTTGGAATGATGTTGCATTAATGAAATATGAATTTCTCGACTTTGTATTTCATGATCTTTAAATACATTTTTTGTTTTTAGAATTTACAATCTGCATATTTAGCAAGAGAGCTTCGCTAATCTTGCCATTGAGCTTAAGCCTGAATACATATATTCATCTCACCGCATAATTTGCATTCATTTGCTAATATTCACCCTGCAATATGCTGCAAAATGCTGCCAGTTCAAATGCGTTACCAGGGAAATGCAGACTGAAGGTGCAAGTTTATACTTTGTTTTATAAATTTATTGAAGTACTTTTGTTGATTTGAGCGCGTCAGAACAATCAAGGTGAATATTAGCAAATTAACACGAAGCACGGAATAATGCATGGAGATGCACATCCTTATTCAAACGGAAGTATACAATTATGCAGTTAGATGTACATACATATTATGTTGCTAGATATGCGGATTCTTAATGTAAAAATTAACAATTGAATGCAAAGTCCATAATAGGCCAAGTCGAGAACAAAGGATTTGGGTGCTAGAGCGAAGTTATAAGGGGCTTAAAATCAGACCTCAAGGTCATTTCGAGAGGGATTTAGCTGAGGATAGACGCTCGACTCCCCGCTCTGCAGATAACCCTTCTTCCACGAGACCCAGCCTGGCGAGCACGATTGCTTGGCGACTGGTTGGCGACTCCGCCTCGGGAGAGTTCGTGGCGATCTCTTCAGACGGGCTACAGGGATATCGATACGCCGTGCATCCACAAGTAAGTGTCTTTGTTAGTGGATAAACTGGTAATCGCGTGTGAAGTCCGACTTACGAGACGTTATTGTGTCTCAGACGTTGGTAAGAGTTTGCTTCTTGGCGATTTGAGCCAGACATCCACGCAGCTTAAAGGGTGCATTTTACTCTAAAAAATACCCGCGACTGTCACTGAAGAATCAGTCACATGGAGCAGATAACCTTTCCACAGCGCCACGCACACACGGGTGAGAAGCCATTCAATTGCTCTGTTTGAGTGAAGGCGTTTGCACGTAAAGCATATCTTCACAAGCACCAGAAAACACACTCGTGAGAGAAGCCGTTCAAGTGCTCTGCGTGTGGGAAGGGATTTGCAGATTTATCAACTCGTCGCAATCACCAGAAAACACACACGGGCGAGAAGCCATTCAATTGCTCTGTGTGCGGGAAGGCATTTGCACAGAAATCAACTCTTAACAGTCACCAGAAAACACACTCGGGTGAGAAGCCATTCAATTGCGCTGTGTGCTGGAAGGCATTTGCACGGAAATCAGATCTTCACAGGCACCAGAAAACACACACGGGCGAGAATCCATTCAATTGTTCTCCGTTGGAGAGGACACGGTCATCACCCCGAAACAAGCATGAGAAGATCAGCAATGAAAGGGAAGTGAAATCAAAAAGTGAAAAACAAAGTGCTGCAATGAGTCCTGAAAAAAATGCATCTTTCGAACCTATGCAGGTGGATCCTGAGAGATGCGTGGATGTAGTGGATGTAATGAGTCCTGACGACAATTCCTATTTCGACCCCATGCAGTTGGATCCTGCGAGATGGCTGGATGTACTGAGCCCTGACGCCAATTATTTTTTCGACCCCATGCAGGTTGATAATGAGAAATGGCTGCTGGAGTGGCTGGATAATCAAAGTAGTGAGTACTTCTGTTATAGTCCTGGAATGTGCACGTTTGTGTCTCTGTTAGATCAATTAATTAGGTGCAATTGATTATATCAGTGATTTCCAGCACTACTCCAAGCTAGTGTAATTATTTTAATAAATCTGTTTGATTGCTCTGTGTGT